TTGGAGAGAACCCACGCAGGCACAGGGAGAACATGCAGACTCCTCACAGAAAGGCCACGGATCGGCCTGGGCTCAAACCTGGAACCTTCTTGCTGTGAGGTGACAGCATGTGTCTGCATACTGGGTCCACCAGTTACCTGCTCATTGTGACATCTGCGGTTCTGCTGGAATCTCACCTGTTCTGTCTTGTGTGGCACCCTTCACCTGTTGGAACATAACTTTGTGGATTTAGGTTAGATGCTGGACATAGCTTGAATGCTCCCTCTCCAGCTACATAAGCAGAGGTCTATTGTATGGGCCTCTGTATGGGTCAGCTGTCAGAATTTCACATAATTAGATGGATGCTCTTGTTAGTTTGCATTCTCATATGCATCAAAGCCAAAGCTAAGGCCTCTACCAAGTTTAGACTACCCCCTGCACATATCTGAGCCAGCTTTGCTTTTAGAGTAGCATCATCTATTTCAACCATTGCCTGTGATTATGGATAGTACATACAGTAATCACCCAAACCTCTGCTTGATCCCTAACATTCCAGTTATCGCCTGCACTAGCTCTGCTACAAAGTGTGGTCCATTACTTGAGATTATTTTATCAGGTAAACCAAACTTGGGAAAGACCTCCTCGCATAGAAACTTTGCATCCGACCTGGCATCTGAGCGTGATGTAGGCATTGCTTCCATTCACCTACTGAAAATGACAACCATCACCAGAATATACTTCTCCCTCTGTATCTTCTCAGTTATGTCAGTATAGTTTATCATCAGTTGTCTAAATGGTTTGTCTGGAAGTGGAATATGGGGGACTGGTTCAGGAAAAGCCTTTCTATTGTTGTATGCAGCACGCACATAGCAACTATGTAATGCTTTATCTACCATTTACACTAAATGTGGTGGCGACCATGTCTGCTAAATAAGTTTAAGAACCTCTCTGCTTGCACAATGGTCACAACTGTGTGCTTCTCTAATTACAATGTTTCAGAGAGATGGGTGCAACAAAGTGCAGGGTTAACTCTATTGCAATGCTGGATTCTAAGTTCAGATGCTGTCAGTGTTACTTCATACCCATTTTTCCTAGCTTGAGACAAAATAAACTGTGGACTTGTAGCGAATGCATGTAATTGATAGGATGTCTCTACTGGATATCCCGTTGTTTGTGTGGAGGCCTTTTGATAAGTACAGTATCTGCTGCCAGGCTCTGATAACAGGATGGCAGCCTTGACTCCATAGAGCCAATGAATGTTTACCTTACAGGAGTGTCCTGCACTAAAACTGCACTAAAACTGCACTTGCAAAGTCAGATTGTTCTGCCACATATAGATAAATGGTTTACTGTAGTCTGGATTTCTAAGTGCAAGGGGCATAATTTATTTCACCCTTCCTTGAAAGCCTCTTCTGCTTCCTCTGTTCACAACAGCCTTTATCAGTCCATGCTAATGTACTGATGTAAGTATATAATCACATCCATGGCCTGCTGTAATGGTAAATGGACTGTATTTATATAGCACATTTTTCCACAGTGTGTTGCACTGGCCAAAGCACTTTACAGGAGATGATACACCATACACACACAACATTCACACACTGATGACAACTGACAACAGGCTGCCACACAACAGCACTAGTCAAGCCACCAGGAGCAATTTGGGGTTCAGTGTCTTGCTCAGGGACACTTAAGCATGCAGGGAAACCGGGAGTCGAACCACCAACTTGCTGGTCAGGAGACAACTGCCCTACCTGTATCCCGTTGTGCCCAGGAAAGAGAGCATTTGACCAGTTTGAGAGCCTTGGTTATTGCCTGTATATACTTGTGATTAATAAAACTTGTTTTCAACTTTATGTAACCCACCTCATAAAAGGGTACAGGTGTGTTATAATTAGGTGTAATGGTTTCACGTATCAAACGCTTTATTTTGAAAACCGGAAGTTTTATTTTTGTAATCATTTAAAACATCACTACAATGTTGCTAGATTTAAAAAAGCCCACTTCTTTTGGCAATGTGAGCACAGACTCTAGAAAAAAGAATTTTAGACAAAACACAAACATGCAGATGAGATGCACTTTTTGGAGCCTCAGACTTTCTTCATTTTTTTGTTTTTCTTGTTCCATTCTGTGCTAAAGATGGTAGTGACTCATGTAGTCATGTGCCAGCTCAGGCAATCGGCTTCGCTTGATTGGTTGGGAGTATATGAGTTGGAGTTCTCTGACTGGCTGGGATTCTGGTGTCATGACAATGAGTTCTTGATTGGTTGTTTTAGGAGCACACTGTGAAAGGTTCACACCTCCACCATTTGAAACACAAGTTTTCATATGACTGGAATATGGAATAACTCACATTTCAACACAAAATTTAAGCAACAGATTATTTGAACATTAACCAAGTATAAGACAATGTTATATTCTGTGGGGAGAAAGAAAAACAAAAAACATTTAGCAACAATTTTGTTAAGCACACTATCATAAAATGAGAATCAAAAGAATTTAATTTTTCTAAACTAGTGTTTGGACCAAAACTGCTGAGTGATGAGGTTAACCTGAAAGAGTCACCTGTTGGGAAGGTTGAGTTTTAGACATCTTAAAGACAACAGGCACATTTAAATCAAACCTCATGAAAACATGTTTATATAAACCAGTTCAGAAATAATTTATCAGCTTGACTAAAACACTTCTAACCTTCTTGTAGATATTTTACACAACCTTTGGTAACACAATATTCCATTATCAAATCTAAGAACATTTCCATTGTCAGAAAGAGAAAGGGTGAATATTAAGCCAAGTTTTATGTTGGTCCCTCCACATTCCAATGTGGCCCTGGTGAGACAGGGAGGTTGGCCAATGATAAGCTGGTCCTAGTGTCTGTGTTCCCCTGGAAACAGATCAGATAAGAGGAACAACTGTCTTGGGTTTGTTTTAATCAGCTCAAATATTGTCTAGGGTCAGAATGCAAAGTCCAATATGCGTATACTAATGTGGTAAAAGTCACAAGGAGAGGGGGGTGTTTGTCCCTCGTGTCCACGTCTGGTTTGTTTGCAGAGGGTGATGTGATAGGGTCCTACACATAAACTGTCTTTGAAACACAAAGCAGAGCCTGGTCTATGCATTGGGCTGATGAGGAGTCATTCTGGTCTTCAATGCCTGAAATCCTCAGAATAAAACATCTCTTCAAAATGTCTACTTTGGACCTGTGGGCACTACATTCAAAATGAAATGGTTAAACCTCAGAGGAGGTTTGATGTAAACAATCTGTCACTGAGCAGTGAAGCTGTTGAGGGCTGGACATACTGTACAGTGCTTTGGCTTCTTTGGACCTGTTTGTACACGTAGCTGCTTTCAGTGTAAAAGCCAAACATGATAAAGGCTCAGCATAGCCTCAGTGTGGATTAGATCAGGGAGGAGGCTGCACATCTCTCTAAGGTCTCACTGCCCATGAACTGACACTTTACTCGGTGATTTAATTTTTAGACAGATCACAGGCCTTTATAACTGAATCTGTATTTGTTTGGCTGCTGTGTGCAGTTCTTCACAGGTGTCATTAAGCACACAAGTGATGCTGCCATAAAAGAAGAAGAAGTTCAAACAAGTGTTTAGTGACTGATTTAGCAATTCAATCAGTGAATGATGGAGAAGTGTGTTAGTTGGGAAATGGGCATATAGGCACTGGATGTTGAATATCAGATTTTACACGAGAGCATTCTTAACTGTGATGTGTTCTGCACTCTTTACTCCAATACTCTTAGGAATATTGAACAGTTCTGAGAATTTTCATACTGGATGTGAATTTAGTACATGCTAGTCATGTAATTTTTCAGTGTATCCCCTTTAATCACATGGCATTTGGTTTGTAGCTTATGAGGCATGGAAGAATACAGGCTTATATTCTTTATATGTTGGATTTAAATTTTTGACATGGAAAATTTTTACTTCTCATTCTGTTTTCTTTTCATCTGCCCTTTTAAAATCACATCTGTCTCAGCTTGCAACTGTGCAAACATGACGAGCAACAACAGCGTGACTCCCTCCTATTTTCAGTTCACTGTGTTTGCAGACTATGGGCTCCTCAGATATCTTTTCTTCAGCCTGTCTCTGTTGATCTACATGACTATAATCTCTGCTAATCTTGTCATTGTTCTGTCAGTCTGCCTGGAGAACTCTCTGCATCAGCCCATGTATATTTTCATCTGCTCTCTGTGTTTAAACTCTCTGTACGGCTCGACCGGCTTCTTCCCCAGGTTCCTGATGGACCTTCTGTCCGACACTCATTTCATCTCACGTCCACTCTGTTTTATTCAGATGTATGTTATTAATACTTACGCAGGACATGAGTTGACTCTCCTCACAGTCATGGCCTATGACAGGTTTGTTGCTATTTGCCAGCCTTTACACTATCACAGTAAAATGACATTTAGGACAGTGCTGCTTCTTTTGATTTTTGCTGTGCTGTACCCTGCATTTCTTTTAAGCTTCCTTTTTTATCTGGCCAGCAGTTTGCCTTTGTGTGGAAATCAACTGCCCAGGATTTTTTGTGCCAGCTTCTCTGTAGTTCAGCTCTCCTGTGTGGACACAACTGTGATCCGCATATCAAGCGAGTGTCTTGCTGTGATATTAGTCTTCATCCCCCTGTTCTTTGTCCTGTACACCTACCTGCGCATTCTGCTTGTTTGCAAGAGAAGTTCATTCGAATTCAGAGGAAAGGCCTTTCAGACCTGCATGCCTCACATAGTGACCTTTGGAAACTTTTGCATATGTCTATTTTGTGAGGTTTCACTGAGTGGATATAAAACTGATGAGGGAAATACATTTGTCACTATTGTTTTATCTCTGGAGTTTCTGATCATTCCTCCCATCATGAACCCTCTGGTGTATGGCCTGAGTCTGCCTCAGATCAAAGGAGTGATTTTCAGATATGTGAAGATTCACTAAACAATTCCTGCAGCAAACCAAAAGGCCCAACATGCACAGATTAGTGGCTAATGAAGCCTTATATCTATGTTAGTCACCCAATGTGTTTCTTGAATATTCTACAGTAACTCCCATGTTTCTGTTTTCCAATATACAGTGGTTACGGAAAGTATTCAGACCCCCTTAAATTTTTCACTCTTTGTTATATTGCAGCCATATGCTAAAATCATTTAAGTTCATTTTTTCCTCATTAATGTACACACAGCACCCCATATTGACAGAAAAACACATTTTTTGACATTTTTGCAGATTTATTAAAAAAGAAAAACTGAAATATCACATGGTCATAAGTATTCAGACCCTTTGCT